TTGTTTGGCGGGTCCGGGCTGGGGATTCGAACCCGCCACCTTAGGTGTACGTGGCTGGCGCCTTAGCCCGTTGAGCTATAGGCGCCGAGCCGGTCTCAATAATTTTTAAGAATACATGTCTTAGTCTGTTTGAGAAGCTGTAAGAAAAAACTGAGCTGGGCATTGTGGTTCACCTCTGTAGTCCCACGTACACGGGAGGCTGAGGCGGGATGATCACTTGAGGCCAGGAGGCTCCAGTGGCTTATACACAACAGAAATTTGTTTCTCATAGTTCCAGAGGCTGGAAAATCCAGGATCAAGGTACTGCCAGGGCCAGGTGCAGTGGGTCACATCAGTAATTCTAGCCCTCAGGCAGGCCAAGCCAGGTGGATTGCTTGAAGTCAGGAGTGCAAGACCCCATTTCTACTAAAAAAGAAAGATTAGCCAGGCATAGTGGCACATGCCTATAATCCCAGCTACTCGGGATTCTGAGGGAGGATGGCTTGAGCCCAGAAGTTTGAGGTTGCTGAGAGCTAGGCTGAGGCCTCAGCATTCTAGCCCAGGTGACAGAGCAAGACTCTGTCTCCCCCCCAGAAAAAAGGTGCTGCCGAGTTCAGTGTCTGATGACAACCTTTGTGGTCACAGATGGCAACTTCACAGAAGAGGTGAATAAGCTCCTTGGGCCTCTTCTGTAGTAACACTGATTTATTAGGGCTGAGCAATAGCAGTAGGATAGGAAAAATTAAAAAGTATCAAAGGGCATTTCTGAGTAAAGACAAGTACTTTTTGTGAAGCATTGTTTTAGACATACATATTTCTCCTACTTCCCAAATTCTCACTGTCCAAATCAGGAACCGAAACAATTTGGTGACATTTTCAGGTCAGTCCTTTGCAATCTAAACTCTTACTTCTTGCTATCCACACTCCAGAATGTGACCAATTTGAATTGCAAGGAACATTTGTGGCTGTGGATGTATGTGCAAATGTGTGAATGTGTAGAGTAGTTTGCAACATAAAAATGATTTCTCTCTTGGAGCAGTGGTCAGAGAAGTGTGAGAGCCAGTACTCTGGTGGACACATTAAATCGCATCCTTCCTAGCCAGAGAGTGACTTCTGACAAGAAATGTGAGCCGTGACCTCTTCTCTTTCCATAATGCAGCTTGGGGAAAGAACAGGCAGATCTTGCTATAACTTGCTAAATAGCCATGGCTTGTTAAGTTCGTGTTGCTTTTAATCCCAAGAGGAGGAGGGAGTTGCTAAGGGCATGTGAAGGTTCTCTTCAGCAGGACCTCATACCTATGGTGATAGGTTGTCATGGGAAAACCTCACACAGGTGAAGCAGGCAGTGATTGATGGGTGGTGAGGCCCAGTCACCTGTGGTTGGCTGGCTCCACACTGGGGGAAGAGTTTGGGCCTCCAGGAATGACACCCTGAAGTAAAAGAATATGGAATGAGCACCTGATCTGGAAAGGATCCTGGTATTGCTGGTCTGTTGATTCGCCTGCTTATTTTCTATTGAGTTATTGTATCCATTAGAAAAAGATTGAGTATCTTAAAATAACAAAGTTTTCTTTCTTTTTTTGTTTTGTTTTGTTTGGGTAGAGTGCTGTGGCGTCATAGCTCATAACAACCTCAAACTCCTGAGCTCAGGTGATCATCTACCCACCTCAACCTCCCAAAGTGGGAGGGGTGAGCCACCAGGCCTGGCTAACAAAGGTTTATTTTTTCCTCAATGCCATGTATCCATCCTGGGTTCAGCTGGGGACTCTGCTCCACAATGTTCTTTCACTGGGACCCCAGCTGTCCAAATAGCCACTGTTGTCTAGAATATTACTGCTCTTTGTGGCAGTAATAGGGAAAAGGCCTGTGGAAGGTCACACTGGCAATTAAATACCCCAATCCAGAGGATACGATAGTTCCACTGACAACTTGTTGCCCAAAATAAGTCCCAAAGCATCCCACTCCCCAACCACAATGGAACTAAGAAATGCAGTGCCCCCGCTGTGGGAAGGAGGGAGACCAGTGTTCAGAGCAGTGTTTTCAACCTTTTTTACGTCATGGCACACTTCTGCAGCACACTTAAATTATGTTGATCAAAAAAAAAAAAGCGTAAAAGAAGGAATATACATGCTGTGCTTTGAACATCTTCCAAAAATAATTTAATTAATGGTCTTTAAAAATGTTTGTGGCACACCTAAGATCTTCTACGGCACACAGGTTGAGAAATCACGGTCTAGAGAATGAGGCTCCTGACTGCCCGGGTCTCTGCATGGTAACAAGCCACAGAGTTGTGGATCCAAGTGTCCTCTCCAGAAACTGGGAAGCTGGGCTGAGGCTGAGTGGACGTTCACCCCGCTGGGACCCTGGCCTGACCTGGGAGGGCTGCTAGGATTCAGCAGGTCTTTGGCCTTAAGGAGGGAATCTGACCCAGGGTCTTCAGAGGAGCTGACCCAGCAGCTTCTGTTTGGGTCACCCTGCCTCTTGCTTGCAGGTGATGACCAACGGCTGGGAGACGGTGGACATGACCCTACGGCGGAACGGGCTTGGGCAGCTGGGCTTCCACGTGAAGTATGACGGGACAGTGGCCGAGGTGGAGGACTATGGGTTCGCCTGGCAGGCTGGCCTCCGGCAGGGCAGCCGGCTGGTGGAGATCTGCAAGGTGGCCGTGGTCACGTTGACTCATGACCAGATGATTGACCTGCTGCGTACCTCTGTCACTGTGAAGGTGGTCATCATCCCGCCTTTTGACGATGGCACACCCCGGAGGTAAGGGTGTCCACCCTGAGGGGCAGAGCCAGTGGAGTGACAGCTCCTCGAATGCTGGCGGGAGGGTTCCCTGGCACTGTCATTTGAAGCCTCAGTAAGGGGGGAGAGATAGGCCCTTTCTCAGCAGGAATAGTGACAACAGTGACATCAGTGGCAGAGAACACCTATCACTGTGTCCACTTTCTGGTTTCAGTTCTTCACATGTGTATTATCTCAGTCAGTCTCCACAGGTACCTCCTTTCTCCCATTTTCTGCACGAAGCACACAGTGTGATAAGTAACTTGCCCGCATGCACAGTGCACTGCGTCCATTTGCTCGGCATGTGTTTACTGCACCCCTAATGTGTGTAAGCTCCAGTCAGCGCTGGCGATACTACAGGGGGCAAAGCAACAGTGCCTGCTCGCTTGGCGTTTGCCTTCTACCAGGGAAGACAGGCAGTAAAGGAAGATATGCATAACACAGGCTCCGGGAGAAGTTCTGAGAAGGAAATTAAAGCAGGGTGAACTGAGGGTGAGAGCGGCCTTCAAGGTGGGCAGGGAGGGCTCCCTGGTAGAGGCAACCATGTGATTTTGCTGGGCCAGACAGGCTCCAGATGAGAGATAGCCAGGGCCCATATCCCACACGGGTGTGGCCTGGCATGTTCCTGGAGCACAGGGAGACCTGTAGACTGGAGCAGAGAGAGCAGGGTAAGAGCTGGGAGCAGAGACAGGTGATGGGCCAGGAGACTAGCTTGAGTTTAAGTCTAAGTGGAAACCAACGGGACCCATGTTTCTTTTGTTTCATTTTTTAATGGAATATCACAAATATGATGAAAGTATACTAAGCCTCCATTTGAACATTTGTAAACATATGGCCAGTTTTTTTAGTTTGTTTGGTTTTTGATCTCATAATTTCTATATCCTCTTCTTCTGGCCAGAGAGGAAATAATCTCAGACCTTGGAATATATCTCTACACAATAAGGATCTTTTTTCCTTCTTACACCTAACACATGTAATAGTAATTCCTTAATATCAACCCTTTTTTAAAAGAAGTTACATTTAGCTCATGTCTCTCTAAGCTTCCCTTCTGCGTTTTTTGTTTTTGAGACAGAGTCTCGGTCTGCCACCCTAGGTAGAGTGCCATAGCATTGTAGCTCACAGCAACCTTAAACTCTTGGGCTCAGGTGATCCTCTTGCCTCAGCCTCCAAGTAGCTGGGACTATAAGCACTTGCCACCTCACCCAGGTAATTTTTCTATTTTTAGTGGAGATGGGGTCTTGCTCTTGCTCTGGCTGGTCTTCAACTCTCGAACTCAGGCAATCCACTTAACCTCAGCCTCCCAGAGTGTTAGGATTACAGACATGAGCCATTGCATCTGGCATGCTTTGCGATTCTTATCTCCAATTCCACAATCACCTTTGTGGAAAGGATCTGTTGCCCTTATTTTATGAATGGAGAAACTGAGGCACAGGAGGGTGAGACCATTTGCTAAGGGTCACAGGTAACATGGGGAAGAGCTGGGGTTCAAACCAGGGCACCCTACTGAGGTACCCTCCCCATATGGCCTGCCTACCTCACACCGCTCCTCTGCCTGCCCTCTGTCATCTGAAATAATTGTCTCAAAAAAAAAAAAAAGATATGTAAAGCACATGGGACTATACTTGGACCCAGGGACTCTGGCGACACTAGCTCTGAGCTGCTGAGTGTGAGGAAGATAAAGGGCACTTATACTGGGCAGGTGGTCAGGGAAGGCCCACAGCTGAGAACAAAGGCCTTCAACTTGCTGACAGACCAGAAAGTGGGGCTGTGAGATAAAGTAGTTAGAACCAGGAGGACAGGAGATGCAGTGACGGTGAGTGCCATAGTCACACTGGGCTCGCATGTTCCCTAATTTGAAGATGAGAAAGACAAGGTCCACAGTGGCCAAGTTGCTCGCAAAGTGTTACACAGCTGGTAAGGGGCAAAGCAAAACTCCAGTCCAGGATGGCCCATCTCCATTATATTCTGTTGCCTCTAAAAGCCATCCATCATGAGCTATGGGCAAGCGAGTGTGAGTGTTTCCATACCTTCCTGAGTGTCATGCACACTCTGAACAGGACGGGGCACGGTTCTGGGAAGACTCAAACCCTTGGCCATCCCTAGCCATACCCTAACCTTAGGATTCCAGCCAAGCCCCAGGTACCTCCCATTCCCAGCATTCTTCTGGTATCGCCTTCTATCTCTACACAGAGCCATGTCCCAGCTGCACTCACTCAGATCTCTGCAGGGGCAAGTCCAGGCCAGGTAACCCCGCAGGTGAGAGCCTTGGCAGTTGTGCTCCTCAGAAAGGGAAAGGAGCCTCTCCTTTACTTTCCACACACTGTCACACTCACAGCAGTATGTACAAGAAATCAGCTGACCTGTTGGATGATGCTCCCAAAGTCAGGGAGTGGGGGACAGGCCACAGAGGGATCTCATACGCATAGGTAGGGACAAATTAAAGCAAAAACCATAGTCTGCAGTTCTTTGGCTTTGAAGAGACAAGACCAGGGAGGCTGCGACCAGACAGACGAGTTCTGCTCTCTGCCCCATTTAAAAGAAAGACGTACCATCCTGCCCTCTTTACAAGGCAGCTGCTGAAACAGGATCTCCTGTTTGCACTGGCGGTGTGGTTTGAGACTTTGGTGGTTTTTGTTGTTCTTCAAATGCAGAGGTGTTTAACTGCCCTCATTTGCAGAGCTGATAACCCCAGCTCTGGAGTCTCTCCAGCCCTGGGCACTGGCTCCTGCCTCCTGGGTCCAATGTCTGTCTCAGTGAGCCATAAGGGGAGGACTTGGGGAAAAGGCAGGGGTACCTTCACTGCCACCAGCCAGGCTGCACAGCCATTTGTCCCAACTTCATTCTCTTAAGACACGAAGAGGCTCGGCGCATATAGCTCAACCGGCTAAGGCGCCAGCCACGTACACCTAAGGTGGCGGGTTCGAATCCCCAGCCC